GGTAGGTAATCCAGAATTTCCTAGAATTATCCTCTTACCTAATATAACCTACTTCTATCTTACTAATTTCTTATTATTAAATCTACACAAAACGTCTACAATAAACTTGGGTAATGGAAGTCGGTACCTCTATGACCTGTATTATGACTGAAACTCAAGTAGGTATGAATCTAAAGAATGTTAAGATCTAAGAGTAGGCGCACACCGTTTTTAGTTGGCCGATAGTTGTGCCCGATTTCAAATTGTATGAAGAATCGGCCAAATCGAATCGGCGTAGTGTGCGCACTACCATACATGCCCATACTGATCAACAGCCCGACTAAACTATCGGCCGACGAAAAATCAACGGTGTACGCCTACTCGAAACTTGAGTTTGAATCGAGTTTTGACTGTTGCATCATTTCATATTAAACTCCCTGATAGCTTATCTTTCAGATAAACTACAACTTTTGATCTTGGAGATATCAACCTTCATTTTGTTGTACAAAGTCATGTTAAATTACTATCTGAGACTCTTGCCCGTATTCACAAACGATGCTTGCTTAAGTGAAGCAGCAAATCGAACGCACAGCGTTGAATAGAGCTCTGTCTTTGGTTCGTGTGTCACCCTGTGCGTCCACGCGCACTGTGAGACCTCATAGTAATGTTTGTGAATACGGGCGTCTGAATTGATAAAAACTCCTAAACGTTCTAACTAGCGTATATTTCTTCATTCTAAGGTTCAAACCCATTTATTGGGGCTCTCCCTTTTTATAGCACAACAGGCACATATTTGTTGGAAAGATTTAGGGCCCACTAAACCAAAATGGTGTCCGTACATCACCGGCCTTTAAGTTACGCTACGGAACCACATATTAAAACTTCATTCTGGGAGAAAGTGCTGGGCGGAACGGGGAAAAATAAATGTGGTATGTTTAGGATTTTCTTTGGGTCATTGTAAGCTAGCATCGGCTGATTAGAATAAAATGTAAAAGCGTATTATGCTTGAACTAGGGATGTTATGGATATGTAGTTTCGGTTATGGATACGGTTACGGATATAGGAATAATATTATACTGGTTACGGTTACAGATATTTTTTTATTTCGGATATCCGAAAGTTTCGGTTACGGTTCCGGATATCTGTGCTTTATAATGCAATTTGTAATAGTTGTCCAACACGGTTTATTCATGGCCGCACACTTTACATCGAATAAAAGTAATAAAAAAATAAAAATTGGTACTAGATAGCATTATAAAGGTAAATCAGGCTGTTATGCCTTTACATAATAATGCTATACAAAAAACAATTTAAAATGCCTACATCCGAAACTTTTGAATCGGTTACGGTTTCGGATATTTTTTATTTCAGATATCCGAAAGTTTATCCCAGTCAGGCTTGAACGCCCGTGTGATTACCTATCAGTCTCTCACAGAGACAAAGTTTTTAACTTCCTTTTTGAAAACCGGGAAAATTTGTTAGCCTATGTTTTTCCCGAGTTTCAAACTGGCCTCAAAAGGTGACAGACACAATTTCGTGATTACAATATTAGTATGGATTAAGTACGATTTAATACGGATTTGCTTTTTCCCACAACTACGTGGATTTTGATAACATGCTCCATCCGATTTATTTGATTGCATTCGATTTGATTGATTCGATTGCACTATATTGTATTCGATTACGCTTTTGTGGAACATGAGATTTTTTTGGAATTGTTGTTAAACTTGTAATCGGTATACTGAAGCCCCCATAATGTACTGCAAATATCATCCGTGTTTTATTGTTGGTGTACCTTTCTCAATAAGTCAATAAAATGACGCCCGTATTCACAAACATTACTATGAGGTCTCACAGTGACACACGAACCAATCATTGAGCTCTATTCAAAGCTGTGCATTCGATTTGCTGCTTCACTTAGGTAAGCAATCATCGTTCGTGAATACGGGCGTGAATGTTCTTATAACTACGCATATTATTTGTACCTACCATATCCATATAATTTATATCTTTTCGTACCTCCAAGCTGGTAGCATATTACTTCTTCTATCACCTAATTCCAAGAACACGAAGGTCTTTGATAAATTAAGAAGGAATTTAATAAAGATTAATACATATAATACTACTAAATTAATATTAAATTCCATGTAATCAGCATGAAATATTATGCAGTTTGTAAAGAAATTTACAAGGTTTATTATAGGGATTTACACTAATTCGATTATATTCAGTTTTAATAAAATACAATCAATATTAATGAAATACTTTTAAATCTTAATACTTTGTGGAAATCCTTGGGGGAGGCCTTTGTCCAGCAGTGGACGTCTTTCGGCTGAAACGAACGAACTTTTAAATTAATATGATTTATTATTAGATAAAAGGTTGTATGAAAAATGTAGAGCCTAATAATAAAAGACGGAGTCGCAGTTAAAGAAAGTGTTTAAAATCTCTCAAAGGAATCAGTATCTTTTATGCAAACTAAAGGCTGATAACAATAAGTTGGAATGTTACCAATTTTATTTTTATTTTATTTATTTTATTTATTATTCATTAATTCATAAACATTCATTAAATTAAACAATCTAATTGCTAGAAAGCTACCTTTTCCAACTCGACAGACATTTATCTGGAAAATTAAATAAGAAGAAGAAAGTAGGATGTCAAGATAACATTAGGGTCAAGTTTTTGTGGGGAAAAATGGGTCTGTTTAAATTTGAGATTTCATCTGGTCATTTTTCATAACTGAGAGTCCCTTAATTTTTGAGACTTATGTCTGTTTTCACCATCAAGCCCTAATTTTGAAAGTGACCCCTATGAAAACAAAATTCCTGTTTGTGTTACCATAGGGGTCGCTTAAAAATTAGGGATTAATGGTGAAAACGGACATAACGCCCGTATTAATAAACAATTAATTAAAAAAAACAACAAGTTGCGAGCGGCACAGGACCGGTCTTTGTGGAAATCCTTGGGGGAGGCTTTTGTCCAGCAGTGGACGTCTTTCGGCTGAAACGAACGAACGAACGAATAAGCAATGCTTGCTTAAGTAAAGCAGCAAATCAAACGCACAGCGTTGAATAGAACTCTTATGATTGGTTCGTGTGTCACCCTGTGCGTCTACGCGCACTGTGAGACCTCATAGTAATGTTTGTGAATAAGGGCGTTATTCTTAATCCGGCTCTGTCTATAGCTTCCTCAATGAGGGTTTTCGCGATTGAAAAATCCGCCAGATGGCAATACGTAGACGCGAGGTCCAAATGCTGCATGACTGGTTATTTTTGACATGACATTGACAGATATCTCAAAATCCACCAATCATGCAGTATTTGGACCACGCGTCTACGTATTGCAATCTGGCGGATTTTTCAATCGCGAAAACCCTCATTTGCTTGTAGCCACAGTAGTATAGACCATAGAGCTCGCTTGTTAGCGGCCGTTACAAGAGTTCCCTTTGCCGCAGTCCATAGACAAACTGCATTGACACTGGCAGCTTTACTCAAAGGAATCGTCTTTATGTCTATGGGCAAAGAGATTTCAGTTTTTGAGGTTTTATTTCTCTATTGTGGATTTTATTTTTTAGTTGTCTTTTTTTTCGCCTGAGACGTTTTGTAAAGGTCAGCCCTCCTAGACAAAACGCACTTTTTGATCGAATCCAAAATCGAATCCGTCAACAAAACTCCATACAAAAAAGGGGCATTTCGACCACTTTTCGACTGGTTTGCGATTATAATTTGCACTTTGTCTAGACCCACTGGTTCAGTTAAAACAAGCTTTTAAAAAGCTTTTAATTCCTTTTAAATTCTTTTTTTTAAGTTATAGTTATTAGCCACTAAAGGCGTCTGACATCTATTTAAATAATATCTCAGTCATCATGGTAGACCGACGACCTCGTAGAGTTAGTAGGAAGATGCTGGATGCAAGCCGCTACCAACCGGGCGAAATCATTGCGGGAGGCCTATGTTGACGTCCTATGACTGAATGATGATGATCATCATCATCAGGGTCATGTATTCTACTGCAGGAGAAATACCCTACTATAAGATTTTAAACTTTCACGTTCCATTTGTCTGTCTGTGTGTCTTGTCTGCTTGTGACCACGGCTGCAGCATCGCAGCCGAAACGTCAAGCCGTGAGTACATAATGTAACTCATTAATAAACGTCGCATTAAGACCCGTGTCTTATGCCCGTTTTCACCATCAATCCCTAATTTTTAAGTGACCCCTATGGTAACACATAATATGAATTTTGTTGCCATAGGGCTCACTTAAACATTAGGAAATGATGGTGAAAACGGGCATTACTATTTTAATTAAATACCCTAATAGGTAGTTACTGAAAGGACTGATTTGACCTACTCTACCAACTCTGGCCAGACGGTTTGGGAAGTGTGTCAAACATACAAAGAATACAAAGTAGCCTAAGATTCTGTCTAAAATACATTTTAACAGTTTAAAGGTACGCGAACTAAAAGCCTGCTAAGTGGTTTCTTGTTGCGAAGTTTCACTCGTTTTATCCTAAGTTGTGCTTTAAAAATGTATGTGAGAATTTTGAACAAAAGTTTCAGCACTTAAATGTTTTAGTATTTGATCTTAGGCAAGCTTGGCCGAGCTATGTTAGGTTTTTAAAGCTTACAAAATATTATGGTTTTAAATTAATAAAGTGAATTTAAAACATCAAATGACAAAATAACCGAGAAAAAAATTTATTCAGATTGATTGAAAAATTAAAAAGGTACAATTTTGGTGGTCTTACCGGCAGTAAGCAATCTCTTCCAGGCAGTTTTTTGAGATTTGTAAACATTTGTAAGTTGTGTGAATTATCTATACTAGAAACTTGGTGTGGAATAGAACTTGTATGCTTTTCTCATTAGCCAGAGAACGAATAAACTGTTGTTAAATTGAATCTTTTATTCAATAAATAATTATGAATGCTACAAATAACTCTAAACTTACTTTTATGTCAATACATCTCTACTATCCAAATAAAAAGTGATGATATTCGTCACCATAAATTTGATTTGAAGCTATTCACTATCAATAGGAAATAGAAGACCACTGAAACAAAAAAAAAACTTTATTTGTGATATTTAAGGTTCAGAGTGACGTAATGACGTGACAGAGCATACAAGTCTGAAGCACATCTGAAGTCTCGCTAACGTATGACGTCACAAAACCTCTCCCAACCTCCCATACCTCAAGCACTGGGTTAGTTATTTGCTAGACTTGTAGTTTGTTATACAGGGTGGAAACGATAATTATTATTGATCTCACTCGATTATTTCTAAACTATACAACTATAAATATCGAAAAACTGGGTACTGATCCTGAAAGTGCTTCACGGGCTCTGTCTAACGGTATCAATAATAGGTTACAGAATAAACTGGATCTACCTGAAAATTCAATGTTTCTAGTTTAATACCGTTTAGAGCTCGTGAAGCACTTTCAGGATCAGTATTCAGTAACCAGTATTTAGATATCTTGTATAGTTCAGAAATAATCGAGTGAGATCTTATCATTTCCACCCTGTATAGTTTTTTATAGACGACTAAAATACTTACATGCATACCATAGAGTGGCCAGTGCAAGCTTGATGGCAAACCGTTTAGTCACGGCGTCCATCTTGACTATAGCAAAGATAGAGCCTGCCAAGTGCACCACCACCACCAGACATGTAAATACAAGCACGTACCATACGTAAATGTTTACGAAGAGGTATTTATCCTGGAAATAGAAGTTACTTTTAATTTAAGTAGCTAGCACAAATACTTTTATTTGATTTGAACTCTATTCTAAACGTGTAAGGTTAAGAATATTTCGTCATTATAGAATTTTGAACTTATAACAGAATAGGTATTGTCAACCTCTCCTGTCCTTTACACCCGATTTTACCCGGATATACTCGTAGTACTTATGTAGTATCTGATCAGCAGGTGATTCTGATGTTTAAATGCAAAGAAGTTTTTGTATGAGAAAAATATCAAAAACATTAAAAAAACACTCGCAAATAAATACAAATTGTGACAGCTAAATCCCTTAAATAAACTAGGTATCAGACAACACAGGTCAATGATGATGATGACGATACACTATGTATGTATGACGATACACTGTGTATCGTATAGGACACGTCAACTTTATTTATTTAAGGATAGTACACAGCACAATATCAATTTGTAATAACAATGTTTTTAGTAGATTATGTATTTCATTCCTTCATCTTTTTTTGTTCTTTGTTATGTATTTTGGTACTAACCAACATAATTCCCAGTAAAAGTATTCCAGCGGCTATCATTAGACCTATAGATATGACCCAGTAGACTATCTTCAGGAAAAATACGATATCTTTGTCATCTATCAATCTTTTTAGAAACTTTTCTGCAGTCAAAAGCTCCAGGGTAGCCCAGATCTGAAAGAAAAGTTCATATAGTAATCGTATAGGTAGTTATAATTTTGAAAAATCATCATCATTTCAGCCACAGGACGTCCACTGCTGAACATAGGCCTCCCTAAAACTTCCAGATTGACTGGTTGGTAGCGGGCCTGCATCCAGCGCCTTCCTGCTACCTTTATGAGGTCGTCGGTCCACTTTGTAGTTGGACCTCTCACGTTTTTTAAAAATAAAAATGTATTTATTGCTTTCGAACCAAATAGACAGGTCACACTTAGGGTAAAAGTAAAAAATGTAACACCTCTTTTTACTAGTAAAAGCCCATTTCAGAAAGAATAATTAATTATAATAATATCAATACTACTAGCTGACGCGTAGATGGCGTTAGTAGCCATGAAAACAATAGCTCTGATTATTTTAGCAAAAATAAAATGTTTAAATACGTAAATTCTTCTCGTGAGTGTTACTAAACTATAAAACAACATGGATTATATGTGTGAGAGTGTTATCTAAAGAAACTATATTGTACTTACAGTGATAATTGACATTGAAATACTTAGTGAACATTTCCCCAGAAAGTGTATTAAAACCGAATGAACAAGGAATTAATCATGAATAAAGAAGTGCTTTGAAAGTGAAACTTTAAGAGAAGGGCTGTTATGGTGTCTATATTGTAGCATTTTGGACAATTATTCGCATAACCTAAAAAGTGAAAAATAAAAAATCCCATCAGTCATCAAAAAGCCACCTAGCGACATCGTTATGTACTAAGTAGTGAAGTTAACGAAACGAAACGCAAGCACCCTGCTAAGAAAAGCACTCAACTTTTTGGAAACCCATAGATTTATCTTGTGAAAGTTTGTATAATCGCCGCAAGATGGCCAAATGTGCAGCCTGTTTCGGTGAAATAACAGATAGACGGTTTTTGACCTGTTCGCTTTGTAAAGATAAATATGACATACTGTGTGTTAATGTATCTGAAAAGATATTTTATTTGATGAGCGCCGAACGCAAATTATGTTGGAAATGCCCGAAATGTAAGTCGAACCTACCAAGGCAAGATAACACAAATACACCAGTCAGAGAACCAGAAAACCTCTATACGGACAATAATAATGTAACATTGAGACGTAAAATTTCTATGACACAAAATGAGGAGGATTCACTAGTTCTGGATGACAGCCCTCCCAACGGGGATACCATTATGAAACATTCGACGCAAAATGCTAACATGGAGGCGATTCTGTTGTCTGAGCTTAGAGAATTGCGGGCTCAGATATCCACACAAGCAGTAAAACAGGAAGTCCGGGACCGTGAGCTTTCAGATACAATAAAATTATTACAAACGTGTATACACAACATGACCAACCAACATTCATCCTTCGAAACAGAACTGAAAGCCCTACGAAAAACTGCAGATAACAATACAAAACGAATTAGCGAGCTGGAAAAGGAAAACATGCAACTTCGGCAGGAATTGATAGAAAATAAACAAAATGAGACATGCAGTGTAAATGAGACATGCAGTGTAAATAAAAACAAGTCATCCCAACCAACATACGCCAGTGTGACCGCCGCACGCCCATCGAGCGCAGCGCCTGATCCAATCATCCAAAATAAGACGGTAGTCCTGTACGGACTAAAAGAATCCCGGTACGAGACTGACTATGAATTACACGAGCGAGCCCTCAACGTGTTTTATGACATAGCAGGCGTAGATCTAACTGGATATATCGAAGAAATAAGCCGCATAGGGAAACGCGGAAACCGGCGGCCTCTCAAAATTGAATTACTAAGTAAACAAATAACAAAACACCTTCTAACATGTGTGAAATATTTCAAAAATACTGGATTGTGGCTATCGATGTACTTGGACGAAAGGGGCCTACAAAAAAGAAGACAAGAAAGAGATAACTTCCGAAATGTAAATCAGCAGCCACAATTAACACCTAAGCCATCTAACACGTCAATAGAACACCAGAACAATCCTAGCATTGAAAATACAAACTCCACAGAAAATGCTAGTGCTAGTACTCGAGATGATTCCAGAACTTCGTCTACACATACAGTAAAATCAGGAGGGAGAGCTGCGAAACATTCCTTTCGCCGCTAATGACGGAAAAGTTACAATTTTATACCAAAACATAAGAAGCATAAAGAATAAATTTCATTTATTAGAGGCCCTTACTGAAGAATTTGATTTATCTGTACTTTGCTTTACTGAAACTTGGATCACTACGGCTAAAACTGACCTGCTATCTCTGGAAGGCTACACCCTTGCTAGTCATTTCGCCAGGACCCATCGAGAAGGTGGTGGTGTGTGCATATTTGTTAAGGATAAAATAGATTTTATTGAATTAGATGACATTAAGTTATTGTCTATAGAATATATTATGGAATTATGTGCAATTGAATTTCCTAGTCTAAATACAATTTTAATAGTTTTATACTGGCCAAATAGTAAAAGAGAAGTGACTTTATTTAATACACAACTAGAGCATTTATTAAAATTATTAACAACTAAATATTTAAAGAAAAATATAATAATAGGGGGTGATTTAAATGTAAACTTCCTTAGCAAAACAATAGAAACTAAAAATATGGTTAATTTATTTAAGAGTTTCAATTTTCATCAGAATATAAAAGAACCTACAAGAGTAACGGCCACAAGCTCCACTTGCCTGGATGCAATATTGACTAACTTTGACGCAAGCTGTATGAATGTTGATGTTAAGGAGTATGGGCTTTCAGATCACAGAGGCATCTCTATAACTCTGAATAAATTAGGGCTAACTTTAACTGATAATCAGGAACATTATGTATGCAAAAGAAAATTTAACCCAAAAAACTTAGCGTTATTTAAAGAAAAACTATTAACAATAAATTGGAATAATATTATTACCGCTGACAAAAATATAAATGAGAACTATAAAATATTTCTTGAACAATTAACTACTCTACTTGATTCTGTAATTCCTAAGAAAAATACATTAGTTAAAAATAAAATAAAAACTTGGTTAACTAAAGGTATAAAAGTCTCGTGTAAAAATAAGCGTCTTCTGAAAGTATTAAAATCACAAATAAATAGCGATATATTGAATAATTATTATAAAAAATATGTAAAACTCCTAAAAATTGCAGTAAATACATCAAAGAAAAATCAGTATATTAGTAGAATAAAATCATCAAAAAACATAACTAAAGCCATGTGGCAAATTATAAAAGAGCGCACTAATAAAACAAATAAAAAAATACATAAAAATATACAATTAAAATACAACGGTGATAACTTAAAGGACCCTTATTTAGTAGCAAATACATTCAACAAATATTTCGTTTCAGTGGGATCGCGTAAAAATGAGGATAGGGTTCCTGAAGGCCGCCCTGTAGTAAAGCCAATTAATAACACCATGTACCTCAGACCAGTCACAACACTTGAGGTGACAAACATTATTAAAAAATTAAAAAACAAGTCTAGTTATGGTATTGATGAACTTCCGCCTACATTAATTAAGTACTGTAGAGAGGAGCTAGTTGAACCCCTTACATTTTTAATCAACCAATCTTTTGATCAAGCTACGTTTCCCGATTTATTAAAAATTGCCTTAGTCAAACCTATTCCTAAAAAAATTAAAGCTAACGAACCCCAAAACTTTCGCCCAATATCCCAAAAATTGTCATGAATATTCCCAAGCCAAAGATCTCTATCCTCAGGAAAGAAACCTTAGACATAGAAATAGACTAGTTCCACCTTTCACTAAATTACATCTAGTTAGCTCAGGAACCTATCATATGTCAATAAAAATATATAACATGATACCTAAGGAAATAAAAGGCATTGAAAAAGATAATTTGTTTTGTAAAAAATTAAAAGAATGGCTACTAAGTAAATGTTTCTACACGTTAAAAGAATTCTTTGATCTCAAATCTAGATAAATAAATAAATATACCTAAGCAATTGTCTGTAATATTGTTATTTTGATAATTTAGATTTTAATATTGTATGTACCTATAATGTTGCAATGCCCTTACAGGGCCATGTTTCGGGACTCTGTATTAATATTTAAGATCCAAATGTACCAACATGATGCAATAAACATATATGACTATATGACTATGACTATGACCCGGCGAACTTTGTTCCGCCTTAATGGCAATAAATAAGCAGACTTTTTTTTTTAATTTCGAACGGGATAAAAAGTATCCTATGTCCTTCTCCTGGCTCTAAACTACCTCCCTGACAATTTTCAGCTGAATCGGTTTAGCCGTTCTTGAGTTATAAGTGGAGTAACTAACACGACTTTCTTTTATATATGTCACCGTAAAATTGAGAATTCCGTCAGATTATAATCTGACGTAGTTAAATTACAATCTAACCTAACCTAACCCACTGTTAGTTTACAATCTAACGCGTTATATTATAAACTGACAGAGTTCACAATTTCACGTTGACATATATATAGATAAAATAAATAAAAAAATAAAAATCTTTTGTTTTCAGACAATGCAACAGTTCATATTTTGGTTAGTAAAAAATGATCTTAGAGACTATATTAGTAGACTATAGGCTGATTACAATGAATATAGTCTTATGTACCTATGTGACATAGGTCGTATGTCCAGTTACCTATCTCCAATCACGTCTGGCCTGCTAAATCCGGGGCCTTTCAAAAAAGATCCGCCGATTATGTGCGGTGTTTACTCTCAATATCCAGGCCGTATCTCGTGCGTGAAAAGGTAAAAATTCCAATGAAGCGAAAGAGTAAGGCCGTGGCTTGACTATAAGCGATTAACATCAATCATCACATGAATAGCGAAGACGAACCTTAACTTCGAACTTCTCCTATGTTCTTCTGATTAATTTCGTTGCGGGCCCAATGACAGTTTAACTTTCCCCCGGGACAAACTTGATTTTCACTGGTTGGGTTTGTATTGGCGGTCAAGCTGTAGATTCTGGCTACACAGGAGTTGGGAACGAGAAGTGGGAATAGTCCCGAATAGCGACGATTTCCACGACAGCTGGACGACATCTGAAGAACGCGGGTTTGGACGCCATCACCGCTCGACTACAGTGGTGAGCCCACTCGTAACACAAAGTATATTTAGCTTAGTAAGAGGGGCTTAAACGCTACTTATACACGTATTGCACATTAGTCATATTTTTTAAAGATTATTAGTAATTTGTATAGCACAAATTACACTGGGGAACAGTAATTTTGCGGCATGGTAGTTTAGAGTCAATTCTGTATGCGACTAGTGTGCTGAATACTAGAAAAATATTAGATTTGTCAAATTGACTCTAGATCTTGAGATAAATACTATTAACTATTTATATGAAAAAAAACCAAAATAAAAATCCCAATCTGTATAAAAAAAATATTTACACTAAGATCTTATTTAAGAACGATATAAAAATTTAAAATATATTTGCTTTTCATCAAATAATAGAAAAAAAACTACAAAAAGCTTTTTCTGTAAGCTTTTATGTTATGGTTTTGGTCAGGAAAATTCCATAATTATGGCAACAGTAATCAGCCATCATCTGGCGGTCCCATTGACCGTGGATATCATTCTTCCACTATCCTGATGTTCTGGTAGAACCGTTTTGCTTATTCCTCACTGTAATCATCCAGATTATGGGAGAACCTGTCCAAATGGCTATTGTAAAAAATAAAATTTAATACTCAAATTAGCTCCTTATGTGTAAAATTTTTAAAACAATTTAGCAACCAATTCTGAAAAGTCTGGTACTCTATGACTCCCCAAATATTGTTTGACTACTAAAACAAAGCTTAGCCATGCTTCAGATTCAATTTGTGTTATGTGGTTTACAAATACAGTGTCTTATATAAGAGTACGGATTTGCGGTCAATCGAATTTATTTTTTCCGTATTCAAACGGACGTTTCTGGACGTAAAGGACTTTAATTTGGCTGACTTTTGATCATTTTAGTGATTAGAAAGCTCAGTTCATATCTTTGGCCTTCCAAATTGAAGTCCTTTACGTCCAGCTTGACTCCAGTATGGCAAAGAGTCTACACAAGGCTTACAGACGATATTGGACCCCCAATATTTATTCTTTTATGGAAGTTTTATACCAAAGTATGCTTGGTAGGTTTTTATCACTACCTCCGTGATCTTATTTCTTTGCTTTTGTAAGTTTAGAAGCCAAATATTAACAAAAACTGTTGGGGTTGTAAATGCAAGGTTTTCATAATGAACTCATATTTTTTAAGACAAAAAGCTCTTTAAAAATTAATTTAAAAGACACAAACCGATAATTTCAAGGTCTAGTAGCTGATTACTAAATTGTTGTAACTACATCTACACTAATACATAAGTAGAAAATAAAACTTAGTTGGTATAATGAAATTAATATAAGTTTAGATAGGGTCGTTTAATTTTTTTCATTGATTTCTTGCGTCTCGTTTATCTCAAGAACCAGAGTCAATCCAAAGAAAGTAAATAAATGCACACGATTTATGTCTAATACAAGTGTTTACAAAATCCATTAACAAAATAGATGCCGCAGATTTTTTTATTTTTTTTGTTCCGCAGTGTCATTACTACCCGTTATTAAAAAAATAGCGAGGATTTTCATAAACAATTTTTACTGTTTCCTTGACAGTGATGAAACATTACAACTAAAGTACGGCCAACGAAAAGCGATACCAAATGTAAACAAACCCAATGTTATGGGTGAACCCGTCTGACTTTGACATATTTTGGCGGGAGAACAAGACATTACGACAAATACAAAAGATGGGAAAAGACAGAATATATTATTGTCAACTCGACTGTCGTATCGACCTTTTGTATCGCTGCTAGTTGGCCGTACTTAAGAGTAGGCGCACACCGTTGATTTTTCGTCGGCCGATAGTTTAGTCGGGCAGTTGATCAGTATGGGAATGTATGGGAGTGCGCACACTACGCCGATTCGATTTGGCCGATTCTTCATACAATTTAAATCGGGCACAATTATCGGCCAACTAAAAATCAACGGTGTGCGCCTACTCTTACTCCATTCCGCCAACTTCCGTGAAGGCACAATTGAGCCGAGTCACATAAGCAGCTAAAGCGTAGCTTTAATGCCTCACAAACGCGTGTGCCACGCTGATATCACACCGCAGCCTACTTACGGAGGTAAGTGGGGGTGCAACCCCCTACTTGAGGGATAGACTGAGCGGAAAAATGAATAGCAAAACTGTAGACCAAGCAATTTCCTACATCTCTTAGACATGCGAGCTAACAGGATATGAGCGTATGTTTGTCAAATGCAGGATGTATTTTGAATCGATTTTAAATTCCAATAAATATCGCCATGCTGGATATTGATGTACAGGATTATTTTTATTTTTATCGAAACGCAAAATGGTTTTTGATTTAATTGTGTTGTCAATTGTAAGGCTTACTTAACTACTCTACAACACTGCATTATTGCTTTGAAAATATTAACTAATTCGTTTTCAATTAACTGTTACAGTCGTTTTGATGTTTGCGAACAATTAAGAGCTAATTTAATTGAGTTGGTTAACAAGCGACTTAACAAGCGGTTTTACTTTAGCTATTGTCACGCAAAATCTAAACAAAATGAATATTTTTTAAGTTAATCAATCAAGTAGTTTTTTAAAATATCCTATTAACTTATAAAAGAAGCGCATGGGTTCTTAGGGAGAGTTCGGTATATTGTACCGCCGGGTAAATTGTACCACCCTCATATTTCGTAAAGTATTTATTGAATGTCTGTAATTGCAACACTCAGCGATACACAAATAAATTCAATTAGTATCGGCCATGTGGTTTTTGCCGTGACAATTAACACGTGTGTTTTATTTTGAAAAGTATTTTTTCATTGTTTTCAAGTAACTTTTGACAATGCATGTTTAGTTTGTAATTTTATTAAATTTAATCTCAGGGTGATTCTAATATATCATTTAGAAGCGTAAATTAGTGTGGATTACAATTATTTGAAAGATTTTTCGGTATTTATAAGCTATATTTTTTACCGATTTTTTAATAGCACTATCACCTAGTCGGCTAAATTGTACCACATCAAGTTGTATGGAACTTTATCAAAGGATTTTGAAAATTTTTTTTAGTAAATCATATTTTGAAGTTTTATTTGCGTAGTTATGTTTAACTAACAATAAATGAAAGGAAAAGACTGGCAAAGTAGGTTAGGTACAAGTGTGCGTTACGATAATTGGAATTACAAAACTTTTACTCAAAATCGTGATAACGTGTAAAACAATATCGATTGTCTATGTTATTAACTACTGTTCCTTTTCGTTACCTAATTTGTTAAGAATGTATCATATAATATTTTGCCATAGTTTTTTTATAGGCTTGAAATTTATTGAAATCCAATTTAGTAACCCTGTGGTACAAATTATCGAACCGGTCGGCTAAATTGGACCGATGCTCTGAACTCGTATTTTGTTGATTTGTGCTAAATATACACCAATTATGTTGATTAATATCTATGAAATAGTAAGTTGAATAATTTCTTTATAATTATACACCATGAACATTAGAAAAAACAAAAGAAAACTATGTGTAAAATGGGATTGAAAAAAACTGGTCCAAATTAGCGGACTCTCCCTTATAAATATTCCCAAACATGTAAGGAAGTTTAAAAATAGCAATCGTAATCCACTTACGAAAGTAAGCAAGCATATCAGTACAGAAGCAACTTTGAGCGGGACACACCAACAGCATTTGGTGCGGAATCCAAACACGTCCAGGGGAGACGAGCTGATTGACTTCACCGGGAAGTTCGATCCTTCGTTGAAGAGAAAAGGTCGGCTTGAGCAGCAACAGGGACGTCCTGGGAAGACAAAAAATTTAAAAAACACTTAATAAATAAGAGAATTTAAATTCTTTATTAGTATTTAGGCCTTTTTCAGGGCACTTCTACATGTCCCAAATAAAGCATGCTTTACCACCATTTCGGGACAATATCGGCTGGCGCTGAAAAGTGGTCGAAGAAAGTCACTCTTTTGTCAACCTTTTATTTACCCGATTAAATTGTAAATTTCCGTCAAATTTAAAGCTGAAAAGCTTCAATATTAAACTCATCATTTAGACTCCACTGCTAGAGGATGACCCTATCTTATACCAGAATCCAATGGAGGATTTGGTTAACACTCCCTCATTTTACCAATGTTCATTCAAAGAAATGGCCTTACTTAGTCGCTGGATGCAGGCCGCCTGCCAATCGGGTGATGTAGAAATATGGAGGAGGCCTATGTTCAGCAGTGGACGTCCTGTGGCTGAAATGATGATGATGAAATTATGAAGGCTCTAGAAAAACTTACGAATAATACACATTACACCATAAAGTGCATTTTTCTTCCAATGGATCTATAAATAAATATAAAAATACATATAGACAAATACATCTGTAAACAATATAAATGACGTTTCTTATTTGAACGATTTTCTGTCGAAGTCTCTTGTGTAATGCCAAAGAAGTTTGTCAAGATTTTTGTACAAATATTTTTACAAAGTTGGTTTTCTTTCCAAAAACGACGAGTAGTGGCTAGTGGCCGATGGATTCTATAGCAAGATAGTTATATTAAGTAGCTCTGAGATTCGCTACACAAGAAGTTGTTTGCTATCTTCTGATCTTTGAAGTGTATAACTACACTGCCGGCCAAAAAAATAGGACAAAGACTTTTCTCCAAAATGTTAAAATAAATAGCCTTTTTTGAGTGAAACAAATCCTTGTAGGGTTTTAGGGACGTAACTACGTCATTTATTTGATATTTAAATAAAGTAAAAGGCTTATTAAACTAATTATTTTATTTTAGGGCCCAATTTCTTTGATCGCCATTAAATCAAATCTCTTTGTAAATGCATTCAACTGCATAGTTCGTTATCATTAGTTAAACAAACTATTAACTTTAGGCAACTTAGTATCACTCAAAGCATTTCTCCTTATTAAGTCCTATCTAGACTTAGTTTCCAGCTAATAAGTCACCGTTAAGTTGTGATTTAGAGCCAAAGTTAGTTCAAATTCTGAACTTGCATAAGACTTGGTCTTTGCCTTGATCTTCGCTGCAGTAATTTATGTAACAGACTTGCAATTTCAAAGCCTCTATTAAAATAGAGGTAGAGTATCACAATATCTCCAGTTATAGTACGCATAGCAAGAGTTGAGGCGATCGACACAAGCAAAATATTTATTCTGTATACGCACGCCGCGTTCACCTTTTGCGTAATTTGTCTGACAAGTGTTTTGTTTCCCGCTTGCATACATTTAAAGTTGAACGATTTTGAAACGTCTAATGGGAAAGATCGAAAATAGTAATTTAACCTGGCATTGACGGCAGCGCCGTCCTGCAAATGACAAAAATCGGTACCAGCGATCCGGTATTGACGGTGGCGCCCCCCTGTTAATGTCACGGGTGCCCGGGTGGGACGGTTCAGTGTAGTTCATCTATAGCAAGCACGAGGTAGCTAGTGTATTTATGTGTCTTGACTTACTTGACTTAAGGTCCTATGTCCCCTTGATGGGGCAGAGGGCGTCCACAACAGTCCTCCATCGCGTTTGGTCTTGAGATTCACGTTTGATCTCGCTCCAAGTTTCAAATATTACGGCAGTGCGAGTAAAGTATGTCTTCGCTTCAACATTCTTTGCGCGAACTATACGTTTATTTTGAAGGCTATTTTAATTTTCACCTAAACATTAGCAGTAAGTTATGGATACTATGAACCTTCCATTACATAACAATTAATCCTCCATTACTGCCCATCCCATCGAACACAGACCCAATTCCGCCTTCTAAAATATTCAATACAAGTTAGATTCCACAAAGCCGCCATAATCGAACCGTTACCTATTCAGAAGCAGCGTAATTGCGAAAACAAGCCTACGCCTTGAAATAATAAACAAGGTGATATCGAACAGAAGCTGTGGGATTTTTCGCCTTTGCCTGGTTCAGAGTTTAAAAAATAAACTGTCATTGTTATTTCGCGGGTTTTTCAAGAAAAAAGCAGGACGCGGACCTCTTTGGACAAGACCTAACGCCCATATTCAAAAACATTACTATGAGGTCTCACAGTACGCGTGGATGCACAGGGTCACACGCGAGACAAGCACTACTAAGTTCGAATCTAGTCTGGGTTATCAAAATTATCAATTATCACTAAATAATATACTTTTAAACTACGCAGATATTTTACTATTGTGCACTTCCAAAATAAATTCCTTCACTTCATTCCACAATATTTTGCAATCATATTAAAATAAATATAGAACAGATAATCTATCCTGAAACCTTATCAAAGGACCAATCGATACCAATCCAAACCAATCGTCGTTAAAAGAAAACGAGTGTAGAAAGAAACCGTGTAAGTGCAAAACTTTATTTTCTATTTACGGAGTTTTGAGACGAACCAAAGAAAAACAAAGCGCAGGCAGCCCTGCCACTTCACACGTCCAACGCAAGTATATTTAATAGGGCTGTCACATAAAGATCAAATTTTTATTGAGAAATTAAGCAAGAAAAAATAATTGTTTGAAATTAATATAAAAACAACACTGCTGCTGACCAATGACACTAAAATTATTTTTCAAACCCCTTTTCTTATTACAATTTGATCGAATTAAGTGTGCACCTGGCGGCCGTGACGTCACATTGACGCTCTGGTAAAGACGGGGCGAACGCGGGGAGATGGGAGGGTAAGTGGGAGGGAGAGTTGCATTCAGGGTTTTAAATAGATTTCTTTCTAAATACCAGAAAAAATGCAGCAATAGAGCTTATTTTGTTTAGAGTAGTGTCTAGACTCTAAAGTAATAGTGATCGAATCAGAAATGAGGAGATCCGTAAACGAACTAAAGTCGCTGACGTAGCCCGACGGATTAACAAGCTAGTGGCAATGAGCGGGGCACATGGTACGCAGAACTGACGGCCGATGGGGCAGCAAGGTTCTGGAGTGGAGGCCACGTACGAGGTACAAGGTGGACCGACGACCTCAAAAAGGTAGCATGAAGGAGCTGGACGCAGGCTGCTACCAACCGCGCGATATGGAAATCATTGAGGGAGGCCTGTGTTTAGCAGTGGACGTCCTGTGGCTGAAATGATGATGATGAGAGCCTATTTTTCTGCAGTGGCAGCCCTGAGCCAACCGCGATACAGGTCAAGTGTGGCCCTCGAGTGTGGAGCGGTGCAAGTGACACATCTCCCACAAGGTAGCAGTGCCGAGAACCGGATTGATCCGGAATTTAGAATGTGATCCGGTTTTAAAAGGGATTTTTGTAATACATCGTTCAATAATAGAGAAAGAAAGAATCATCACACTAAAATTATAAAGGCGAAAGTTTGTTAGTGTATATGTTTGTTACTTCTTCACGTCTAAACGGCTGGAGCGATTTTAATAAAATTTGGTATGGAGTTAGCTGACACCCTGGATTAGAGGTGGGCGCCGATATACAATTGGCCGGCGGCGGCGCGCCGACTTTTTGACTTCGGCGGCGGCGGCGTCGGCGGCGTGACCTTGTTTGACCTTTATTGATTAGGTATTTTTTTTAAATCTGCCTGTTTAGTATGTGTCGTCAAGACTAAACAGGTGATTTGCAGTTGGTTGGGGTTTGACACGGTAGAGCTACTAGAGCAGTGGTTTACCCTAGTAAATCAGCTCTCTTGATCATAGATACTTTGATAAATATCAAATTTTGATAGCAGGTTTGGCTGAGATCAGGTTTTCGTGTATTTCCTAAAGGCGAGCGTACCAATGTGTTCTTAGCATGTATTTTTGAGCTCTTTGGAAGCACACAGTTAATGATGGATTAGCTGACTGTCGGTCGACCAAAGTTAGATGCCATAATATTATGTTCAGATCTGATTTATTTATATTGATGGTCATCCTACGGTCCACATTTTTAAAGTAGTTTTAAAGTTAATTGCAGCAATGTGTCGAGAGAGATTTGAGATTTGATTTGAAATTGGCCGGAAGATAAGTTGACGACGTCTTAAATGATAATATGGTGAGACTTCGGGGCTTGCTTACATGCGTCACTTGGTCAGCCAAGAATTATTGGCATTTAGCTGACTTTGCAACAGTGTAGTCGCTTTAAAATCACAGTTACATTTGAGGAAAGCCGCAGATTTCTGGTGTCTGGGCTGGTTTACTAGTAAATGTTGTAGAGTACCGGACCAAGTACAGAGACCTGGGGTACTCCAGCTCTGCAGCTAAAAAGAGAAGATTTTGTCACGGAGTTTGATTTAAAACTGTCAATTCACTGAGATAATACTTCATCAGTTCAGTAGGTAGTAGAAGTGTGCTGGAAGGTACTTTTTAATTTCATAGAGTAGTCCTTTATGCTAAAACCAGCTGAAGCCGCAGCGAAAGTAGCCGTACAGGGTTCTTTCTTTTTCAAACATTGCACTGATTATGGTTTCTGCCAAAATTTATCGTCGGGTATACTATATTACAGGGAATAAACGAGCAAGAATGATCCTTTCCCATAATTATAACAATACAAATTATTGTCAGATTAATTGAGCAATAGGAGGAGATTTCGTAAGGCGACTTGCCAGGCTTATGGATCATTTCCAAAGTTAAGAGACTTGGGAGGATCTCACTCAGTGTGTCATTGTCAAGAACATGGACTGCATGGTGATCAGATCAAATGAAGGTGCTTTACGACGGTCCATTTTGGCTATTTCTTTAGATTAGCCAACTCTTTTAACGTTCGTTCATTCGTTTCAGCCGAAAGACGTCCACTACTGGACAAAGGCCTTCCCCAAAGACTGGTCCTGCGCCGCTCGCATCCAGGTACCTCCCGCGACCTTCACCAAATCGTCGGTCCAGCTAGTGGGACGCCTGCCTACGCTACGTCTTCCGGCTCGTGGTTGCCACTCAAGAACTTTCCTGCCCCAGCGGCCATCAGCTCTACGAGCTATGTGCCCCGCCCAATTTTAGCGATTCTGCGGGCTATGTCAGTCACTTTGGTCCTCCTGCGTCTTTCGTCCTCTCTTAGCGTAGTAGTATCTTCTACTTTTAATTTCAGGAGGGTAAGCGGAAACATGGCGGTCAACTCCTCAGAGAGGTACAAAGATGTCCAGAAGCAGCATATGAAAAGATGCAAAATGGGCCCTCTCAAAACACAATGGGAAGGTATGGGAGCATAGCGCCTAGAATGACGAAAGATTGTGAAGAGGCGAGACCGCGAGTTCAAAGTGCAGCGCACACCTGAACTCTACGCGAAACGCGATGATGCAAATCTCGTCCATCTGCCGCTATTCACTATAATTATGTTGGCGGCGTCCTCAGATACTCTCAATGTGCGAAGAGTTTGCCGCGAAGATCGGCTATGTAAGCTATCTTCGGGCGCACCAGCGCCGCCAAGACAGCTAAGTTGAACGAAGTGGTCACTAT